GCGGCCTGTGTTTCAGAGTTACCTGAGGGCCCAGAGCTCGCCGGGAAGAAGAAAAATGTTAGTCTGCAACATTAGAATGGTCTGTTGGATTACGGGGCAGGTCCCAAGTTCAAAGAGAGAACTCGGTTTCTCCATGTGAGGAGAAGCTGCCTTCTGGTTCCTAATAAGGAGATATGACCCTGGGAGGCCAGTAAAGGCCTAGTGTGGATTAGAGAAACACGGTGTGAAGTAATAGGGAGTTGGGGAGACTAGGAAACTATAGGCCCGTGCCATCGGGGACAAAGGAGTAACCACTATCCTCCATTAAGTGTGGCTCTGCAGGGTGAGGCAAGTATAACTTAATCTCAGACCCACAGGGACCATTTGGGGAGGCCATCGGTAGTAGAGAAACACTGGCTGTGGAGAAGATGACTAGTAATCTAGAGGGAACTTTGCTGTTCTAAAGGTACGTCATTCTTACAAAATTTTACCAGACAAACAAAAGTTTGTTTATTATACAGAACAGAGAAAGTAACGTGATGATTCCAATTTGTATGACAGTTTTAAACCAGGACCTTAGGTCTGAAAGTAGTCAATTGAAATATTTGTCGGCACTCTTTCTGACTCAGGGAGGAAAAGTTCTCCCTAGGGAGGCATACCTGGAGTATGTACCCTCCTGGAAGTCTCCAATTAAACGAGGCCATGAAAACAGGAGAGGGAACACTGCCGGAGCACGCTGGAAGAATTAACCAAGGGGCGCCTGGGTGGCTTAGTCGGTTGAGCATCTGACTTTGGCTCAGGTCACAATCTCATAGTTCATGAGTTTGAGCCTCATGTCAGGCTCTGTGTTGACAGAGTGGAGCCTGGAGCCTGCTTTGGATTCTGTGACTCCCTCTCTGACCCTCTCCCACTCATGTTCTGTTTCTCTCCTCCCACCCCCAAAGATAAACAAACATTAAAATTTAAAAAAATAACCAAGTGCATTTGGGAGGATACAGTCTTAAGTATAAACATGAAGCAATAGCTGATCCACTTTTTGAAAAACAGCGAAACTTCAAAGATGTTTAAAAAAAATTTTTTTAATGTTTTATTTATTTCTGAGAGAGAGAGAGACAGCATGAGCGGGGGAGGGTCAGAGAGAGAGAGGGAGATACAGAATCTGAAACAGGCTCCAGGCTCTGAGCTAGCTGTCAGCACAGAGCCTGACGTGGGGCTCGAACCCACGAACCGTGAGATCATGACCTGAGCTGAAGTCGGATGCTTAACTGACTGAGCCACCCAGGTGCCCCACTTCAAAGATATTTTAAAACAGTCTTGTTATCTCAAAAGAACTGTGTGGAACCAAATATGTTACTGATAATACAGCCTATAAATTTTAAATTCAGGAACCAGGAATTTCAGTAAGAATCTCTGAATCTCGGTTAATAGTTCAGATTAAAGAAATATTTTTTGTGTGAAGGGGCCCCTGGGTGGCTCGGTCAGCTAAGCCTCTAGCTTCAGATATCAGTTCAGGTCATGATCTTACAGCTCATGAGTTCGAGCCCTGCACTGGGCTCTGTGCTGCCAGCACAAGACCTGTTTGGGATTCTGTCTCCCTTTCTCCTCTGCCCTTCCCCCCCTCAAAATAAAAAATTAAAATCTACAAACTAGCTTTAAACTATAAAACTAAATCTCATAAAGATAGATTTTTGTGAATTCTAAATCTTCTAACCCTTAGAAAAAGCAAGTGAAAAATTAATTTGTCACAGGATCACGATAAGGCTGTTCCCAAAAGCCCATAGTCAAAAGAAGAGGTTTCCCCGTTTGCAAGGGCTTGGAAAATGCAGACAGGGGCCCTGTCTTCCATAAAAGAGAGAGAAGCAGCAGCAGTGAGAAAAAAGGTACACAGACCTGATCCAAACATCTTGGAAGAGTTGTCTCATTATGTTGTCAGCTTGGAAAATCTTTATACTTTCAAATTAATAGGTGGTGTGCAGGTCCAGTCACTGTTTGGTTCTTTCTTTAGATGCATCAGGTAAATCCAAGAGACTGTTGCATAAGGCTTGGTTTGAAGTTCCTGATAAGGGCCTTTCCAGTGAGGCAGTAGAGTCTTCTGGAGCTGTCTTTTCCTGGTTGTAAGGTGTGATGCTTAAGGTTATTGTCTTCCAGGAGCACACTGTGAAAAGATTGCTCTACCAAAGCATGGTTACTTTTAACAGAAGCAACTGGGATTTTACAATATTCAAGCATATGTTCTTTGTTGTTTTATCAACTGTGGATCAAAGGAGGCATGGCCAAATGCATTGGCCATCCTGTGACTGTCACAAAGGGGGAGAGTCTGTGTTTGAAAAGGTGGGTCTGAGGTTTAGAAGGACTAGCAACTATGCTTGCAGCCAAAGTATTTGGAAGATCTCTACAAATTTTGCCAATTAAAAAATTTTAAAGCACATTTGTTCATTTTGAGAGAGCGAGAGCACTGTCAGCACTCAGCTCGACATGGGGCTCAACCCACACATCATGAGATCATGACCTGAGCTGAAATCAAGTCAGAGGCTTAATGAACTGAGCCACTCAGGCTCCCTGCTAATTGAGTATTAACCATCCTGTGAGTGCATTCTAACCCTGAAGATTGAAATTGGTATGCAAAATCAAAGTGTTGTAAAAGTAGCTAAACAGGGGGCGCCTGGGTGGCTTAGTCGGTTAAGCGTCCGACTTTCGCTTAGGTCATGGTCTCGCGGTTGGTGGGTTCAAGCCCCGCGTCGGGCTCTGTGCTGACTGCCAGCTCAGAGCCTGGAGCCTGTTTCAGAGTCTATCTCCCTCTCTCTCTGACCCCCCCCCCCCGCTCATGCTGTCTCTCTCTCTCTCCTAGAAATAAATTAAAAAAAAAAAAAAGTAGCTAAACAGTGCAGACTTGCCAAAGCACCTGTCCAGTGAAATGTATTCCCCTGGTACTATAAAGTTGGAGAGAGATTTTTCCCAGGTAGGGATAATCTGAAAGAATTTTAGCCATGGTAGAATGGCCTGTCTACAAGGGAAAGCTTTGATCCAGTGAGAAAACATACAAACCATGACTCAAATATATTAATATCCATAAGATGGAGCTGTATGAAGTCCATTTTTTAAACAGGCTTCCCTGGGTTATATTTAGGACAGATGGGATGAGTGAGGTAGGTACTTTTTGAGACCTTATCAATACTTCCCAACCAAAATTGGTTCATGACTGCTGACATTTTCTCAGTAAACCAGTGGTTTGATGCACGTACAGTAGTAAGTAGGGGGTATTTTAGAATTTCTAAAACAATCCCCTGGATCGTTATTTGCTCCAAACCAAAGTTCTCTATTATTATTGAACCAACAATTACTAGATTTTCAATATTGTTTTTCCTTTGGATGTCTCTGGTGATTCCTCACCACCCAAATTACCACTTGGGATAACATCTCTTTGGACCAAGACAGAGGTTTGGCTACTGGCTCCCTTGGGAGCAGCATTTTTGGTGGAAATATCAGTAAGGTGCTTTCTTTTGGCCTCCAGAGAGTTGAGTCTGGAATGTCTGGAAATCTTAATAATATCCATAGCAGCTGGCAAAGGTACTGCATCTAGTAAAATTTGGACATAGGAGACAGTTTTAATTTTATCCCCATTGGAAGTAGGGACACATTGTTTCCATAATATTCCAAAGTCATGAGTTACCCTAAAGGCATAGTGACTATTGGCATAAATGTTTGCAGTTTTACCCTTGGCTTAGGGTACACAAAATACACACATAAAAATAACACAAAAATACACAAAAATAAACTCAAAATGGATGAAAGACCTAAATGTGAGATGGGAAACCATCAAAACCCTAGAGGAAAAAACAGGCAACAACCTCTGTGACCTCAGCTGCAGCAATTTCTTGCTACACACGTCTCCAAAGGCAAGGGGAATGAAAACAAAAAATGAGCTTACTGGGATCTTGAGATAAAAAGCTTCTGCACTGCAAAGGAAACAATCAACCAAAAAGGCAACCGATGAAATGGGAGAAGATATTTGCAGATGAAATATCAGGTAAAGGGTTAATATCCAAAATTTACAGAGAACTTAACCAAACTCAACACCTGAAAAAAGTAATCCAGTGAAGAAATGGGCAGAAGACATGAGATAGACATTTTTCCAAAGAAGATGTCCAGATGGCCAACAGACATTTGAGAAGATGCTCATCATTCATCATTAGGGAAATACAAATCAAAACCACATTGGGATACCCCCTCACACCTGGCTGAGTGGCTAAAATTAACAATTCAGGAAACAACAGATGCTAGGGAGGATGTGTAGAAATAGGAACCCTCTTTCACTGTTGGTGGGAATGCAAACTGGTGCAGCCATTGTGGAAAACAGTGTGGAGGTTCCTCAAAAAATTAAAAATAGAACTCCCCTATGACCCAGCAGTAGCACTACTAGGAATTTATCGAAAGGATACAGGAGTGCGTATTCATAGGGGCCCATGTACCCCAATGCTTATAGCAGCGCTTTCAACAGTAGCCAAATTATGGAAAGACCCTAAATGTCCATCAACTGATGAATGGATAAGGAAGATGTGGTTCATATATACAATGCGATGCTACTTGGCAATGAGAAAGAATGAAATCCTGCCATTTGCAACAACATGGATGGAACTGGAGGGCATTACGCAAAGTGAAATAACTCAGTCAGAGAAAGACAGATATCATATATTTCCACTCAAATGTGGAACTTGAGAAACTTAACAGAAGACCACGGGGAAAGGGAAGGGGAAAAATTAGTTTCAAACAGAGAGGAAGGCAAACCACAAGCGACTCTTAAATACAGAGAACAAACTGAGGGTTGATGGGGGAAGGAAAAAGTGGGTGATGGGCATTGAGGAGAACACTTGTTGGGATGAGTACTGAGTGTTGTATGTAAGCAGTGAATCATGGAAATCTACCACCAAAGGGAAGAGTACACTGCATCCACTGTGTGTTAGCCAACTTGACAATAAATTAAAAAAAAAAAAAAGACCTAAGTTAAATATAATCTAGAGCAGTATAAGGTGATATGTTCCAGGGATGAGTGAGTTGAAGGCTGGACAAATCCATCACAAATGTCCTGTGTAGAGTCAACAATGTCCATAAAAAAGATAAATCTCTGATGAAAGTCCCCAGGCCATCCCTCGTTGGAGATGGGCCCCAGGACAGAAAGGGTCAGGTCCTGTGGGAAATGGGTAACCAGGGGGTTAGATCTGCAGTTCCCTTTGGGAATTCTACTTTGCTGCATGGAGAAGAGATGGGGATGAACCTCTCAACGTGGTGGAATCCAAGAAGGGTGACATTACACTAGCAAATCCAGTTGCTCTTCTAGGTCTCAGACTCCAGTTCCACCGAGTGCAAACTATGGGCAAATGGAAATATTAAAATTAGTCGTTAGTACTGGTAGAGAGATGGATACCTAGATTAGTGGAACAAAACAGAGAACCAAATACCCACACATACAGGCCCAACTGATTTTTGACAAAGGTGCAAAAGAAATGGAGGAAGAATCTCCCTTTTAACAAATAACTGGCGCGGGGCCAATGGACACCCACAGGTAACATGTAAGTAAATAAACAAAAATTAAACCTTACCTAAATTTCATACCTTGTGCAAAAACTCACTCAAAAGGAATCACGGATTTAAATCTAAAACAGAAAAGTATAACATTTTAAGGAGAAAATTGGGGGGACTTAGGGTCAAGTGAAACACGCTTAGACTTGGCCTGAAAAGCACGATTCATAAAAGGAAAAATGGCACATTGGACCTCATCTAAGTCACTTTTAAAATGAGAAAATCCCAGGGGCGCCTGGGTGGCTTAGTCGGTTAAGCGTCTGACTTTCGCTTAGGTCATGATCTCACGGTTCGTGGGTTCGAGCCCCGCGTCGGGCTCTGTGCTGACTGCCAGCTCAGGGCCTGGAGCCTATTTCGGAGTCTGTGTCTCCCTCTCTCTCTGACCCTCCCGTGCTCACGCTGTCTCTCTCCTAGAAATAAATAAAACATTAAAAAAAAAAAAATGAGAAAATCCCAGGAGTGCCTGGGTGGCTCAGTTAGTTAACATCTGACTCTTGACTTCGACTCAGGTCACGATCTCACGGTCAGTGCGTTCAAACCCCACATGTGGCTGCACATTAGGTACAGAACCTATTCAGGATTCTTGCTTTCCCTCTCCCACCCCCAAATAAATAAATAAATAAATAAACATTTTATAAAAATGAGAAAACTACAGAGATGAGCAGATTAGTGGTTGCTGGGGTTAGGGAAGGTGGTTGGCTATTAAGGAGTAGCATGAGGGAAGTCTTCGTGGTGTTTCAACAGCTCCATAACATGATTGAGGTGATGGTACAATGAGGCTACATGTGATAGAACGGCATAGAACTACACACACGTATGTGTGCATATATAAACTGGTGAAATTTGAACAAGCTCTGTGGATTACAAAAAAGTAGAATCATTAAATATTACATTAAAAACAAAGCCACCATGATGACTAAAAGCCATGATAACCTCCTTTCACTAGAAGGTAAAAGCCAATCGCAGAGTCACTTGAGTTCCCAGTAGACAGCTATGACGAGAAACCCAGACGTCCTGAAATGCAGAGAACCAAGGGGGGACTCAGCTGACACACTCAAGGGTGTCCCTTCATAGCCCTTGTCTTGGTTGCCAGTTGTGTGGTTTCTTGAGGGATGTGTCTCCCCATGTCTCAGTTCACCAGGGCTGCTCTAATAAAGTCCATAAACCCGGCGGCTTACAAACAATAGAAATGTATTTCTTGCAATACTAGAAGCAAGGAAGTCCAAGATCAGGGTGGCAGGAGATTCCGTATCTGGTGAGAATCCTGGAAAGAGGGGAGGCGTTCTCGGGGGTCTCTTTTCTGAAGGCACTAATCTAATTCATAGGGCTCGACTCTCAGGACCTAATCACCTCCCACAGGCCCCACCTCCAAATATACCACACTGGGGATTAGTTTTTAATCTATGAATTTGGGGGGGCACCTGGGTGGCTCAGTCAGTTGAGCATCCAGCTTCGGCTCAGGTCATGATCTCACAGTTCATGGGTTCAAGCCTTGCATCGGGCTCTGTGCTGACAGCTCGGAGCCTGGAGCCTGTCTTCAGATTCTGTGTCTCCCTCTCTCTCTGACCCTCCCCTGCTCATGCTGTCTCTCTCTCTCTCTCTCTCTCTCTCTCTCAAAAATAAATAAAACATTAAAAAATACTTTTTAAATGTATGAATTTGGGGTGGGGGACATAAACCTTCAGTCTATACCCCCTACTAAAAGGTCAGCGCCATGCTCCATGCCCCTGTGTGTTTCTTCCCTGGTGGGCAGGTCCAGTCTCTAGCATACAGTAGCAATTCAGATAGCATAAGATAAATATGTAAGCAGACTCAGGTAACTTAACTTGAGTGAAGGAAGGATTTGCTACCTTTTTCTATGGTATCCTATCCTGCTCTCCCTTCCCAGGGTCGGCTGTGATGATGGGGCTGTGGTCTGAGCCCAGCACAGTCCTGGAAGGCAGCCAAATACTAGCTCCACAAACATTCCATTCCCTGGGGTCCTACTGTGTGCCAGGCCCTTGCCTGGACCCTGCAGTAGACACATTTTATCTCAATCTGATGTGCAATCCAGAGATTTAATGTGCAAACAGACCAGAGAACAGGGCCATAGCAGAGAATGGTTGGAGTCCAAAGGAAACGAAATAGGGAGGTGACATAAAGCTACAACCACTACTTCCCTGAGGAGGTGACTCCAGGGGAAGAAGATTCTGGACAGAAGCAACTTCAGTGCAGAGGCCTCAGGCAGGACTGAGCTGGTGCATTTGAGAGCGAGGAGGAGACTAACTCACGTTGGAGGAGTAGGGCACGGGGCACCATGTCACGCAGGCCCTGTAAGCTGGGTGAGGAGTTTGGTTTGTTCTAAGCCGAATGGGACCCGCGGATGCACATGCCGCTGAGGGAGGCCTGGGCTGTGTGTGGTGATGCTGTTAGAGGGGGTCAGTTTCTTTGTGCAGGTGCCATGCTGCTGGGAGCTCCTGGAACGGAGAAGGGCAACTCAGAGAAGGCAAGTGAACACTTGATAAACCTTTAGGTTGGTGGAATCTGAGCCTCAAGTCTGACATGGCTTTGATCCATCCGTGGGTGTGTACTGTACCCCAGGAGGCTCTGCCCTGTGATGTCCTTGGCAGGAAGGGGCGGGACCACTGCAGGGAAGGACCACATGTTAGGAAGAACTCTTTTCCTTCCAGGGCACTTACGCCCAAATATAAGTGGTTGTGCTGAAACAAAATTGATTGATTCATTCATAAAGCTCACAGGACAGCTTCAGGCACAGCTGGATGCAGGGCTCAGTGAGATCAAAAGGGCTCGTCTCTTGTCTCCACTCATTTACCTCTTTTGGCTTAGTTTCCAGGCAGGCATCGCTTGAAAGAGGAAAGTGGCTGCCGGCAGCCCCAACTCCCAAATCCTGATCCATGAACTCCAGGGTCCATGAGAGGGTTCCCCTTTCCTCACAATTCCCTGCAAGTCCTTTAACTGCCTCTCAATAGTGCACCTCAGATCACATGACCCCACTCGACCCCATCCTTACAGCTTTGGGTTGAATATGCTCTGATGACCAGGCCTGAAGCATGTACTCAGTAAACAGGTGATGAATGAGTGAATGAGCAAATAATTACTGGACATACTTACTTGTTCACCGTTAAAAGCAAACTTATCTTTAGGCTCTTCTCCATTTCTCCCAGGAAGTGAGCTATATTGGTCTGCTTAGGGCTTGGGGTGCCAAATGATTAAATTCCAGAGCTTGGCTTTAAAAATGAAAATCACCAATACTAAGGAGATTTGTTGTTATCAACTGAATGTCTCCCAAAGTTATGTGTTGAAGTCCTAAACTACTATCTGATGGTGCTGAGATAGGGCCTTTGGGAGGAAATTAGATTTACATGAGGGTGTGTCCTCCGTGACAGAATTAGCATCCTTACAAGCAGAGAGACTCCACGACTTCCTTTCTCTCCACTATGTAAGGACACAGCAAAAAGATGGCTGTCTACAAGCCAGGAAGAGCTCTCATCAAGGAACCAAACTGGTCCACACATGGGTCCTGGACTTCCCAGTTACTAGCACTGTGAGAAATACATTTATCCTGCTTAAGCCTCTAGTATTTTCTTATAGCAACCGAACAGACTGACACTCATAAAGAGATAAGGGAGGTTCCTCTATGGGCATCTGCAGAGCAAGATGGTGTCTGGTCTCATGGACCACTTCACAGAGTCTTTTAAGACAAGGTATCAAACTGAGAATATTCAGAATTTCAACCCTGCTCTCCTGCTTAAATAATATGGAGACACACACACTTACTCCTATCACCAAACTGTCTTGTTGACTGTGGGAAAATAATTTTTTAATTTTTTTAATGGTTTTATTTATTTGAGGGAGAGAGAGAGACAGCATGAGCAGGGAGGATCAGAGAGAGAGGGAGACACAGAATCTGAAGCAGGCTCCACGCCCTGAGCTAGCTGTCAACACAGAGCCCGACGTGGGGCTTGATCTCACAAACTGTGAGATCGTGACTTGAGCCGAAGTCGGTCGCTTAACCGACTGAGCCACCCAGGCGCCCCGACTGTGAGAAAATAAACAAATACCTGCCCTGCTGACTGGGGACCAAGCTCGTCACATATCACAGTGAGAAAATAAGTAAGTGCTATGCCTCTGTAGATGAACTTAGAAATCAAGAAACACACTAGTCCCAATCTCAGGGAAGCCTTGTATGTTGCTAAGTCTTTAACGAACCCAAATGTATCCCTCTATTTCAAACGCGCAGCAGATGTAACCGTGAGGACAGACTTAGGGGTAGCACTGGGTTTGTGTCCGGCCAGACATCAAAGCATGGAGGGCAGAGAAAGAGGAAGGAGGTCACTCCAAATGAAGAAGTGTCAGGTCTCATGAAGAGATACCTTGGTTTAACTGGGGAAAGGGTATTTTTGACCGAGGCAGAGAGACTGGGGAGGCATTCCTGATAGGCTGAGGGCACAAACAAAAATGCCCAGGGGCACAGAACTGCTGGGTGGACTCCGGGGGAGAGCTGCCCCTGGCTGAGGGAGAGGACCGTCTCGGGGCAACCAAAACAGAAGCTGCAGGGACGGGCTGCTGGCACTGGCCTTCCAGGCGAGGTCGGGGCTAACACGATGGAAGGAGCGAGCCTCATCCAAACTGGTACCCTGGGCAAGTCAAAGGGTCAGAACCACCAGGAGCCATTTGTCTCAGATGTTCCAACATCACCTGGAAAACATTACCCTCCACCCCCTCCCTAGCAAGTTGGCTATTATATATGCAACCCCAATGGGAGACCAGAAACCTGGTTCAGAGGACCCTTCATCCACGTGCTGAGGGCCATCTGAGATCTAACCAAGGCCACCTGTACAAGATACAAAGGACTGAACTCTAATGACTGATGTCTACCCTACCCCCAGAACTGAGCCCTACTTGCCTCAGCTGGACTTTAACTGCTACAATATAGACCTCCCCGCCCCCCCCCACCCCATTCCATGTTGGAGGCAGACAATTACTATACGCAGGGAATAGGGCCTGAGTAGGCCTGGAGGTGTCCATATACTTCACAGTGTTGGGGAGAAATTGAGCAGACTGGCCAAAAAGTCCCCTGACTATAAGCCCGCCTGAGTTTCTACCCCAGCACTGCCACCATCAGGGCTGGGGGAGAAGAATCACTCCAGTTAAAGGAGGCAGCAGCGGTTTCCAGCCCCAACACATGGTAATTGCTGAGCACTGTGGCTCAAAGCCCCTGAAGCCTAGGGGCACCTCTCTCTCTCCAACATGCCTCAAACTGAAATTCTCTTCTTGACAGGAAGCGTAATTTTTGGACCAGGGACACAGCTACAACCAACATACGAGTTTCGCTGAACTGACATTTTATTGACCTTTTGGGAAATGAGTTTCCAAAAGTTTTTAAGTCAGAAGATCTACAAACCTGAGGATACGGGCCCATGTGTTGATTCAACCACATCTTTCCTTTGTGCCCTGGGACACTGGCAAGAAAGACAATGAATGCTACAGTATGCAGAGACACCACGAACACTGGCCACATCCCAGGACTGCAGGATCTTCATTCTCTCAGGACCAGGGCGATGGCCGTGAAGTGAACATCCTGCTATCCCTAGTAAGGCAACAAAAGTCAGGGACCCCTTACTACAGAAGTCGGTCCCGCTATTCATGAGCCCAGTTTTGTTCTCAATCCCTCCACATAGTGATCAGAACCCCCCATATTAAAGCTGGCTTAAATAGTAGAACTTTTATTACCATACATTCCAGGGAAGCGTGAGACAGTCAGTTCCAGGGCTGGATAAATCCATGACAGGTACCATGCGTAGTCTAAACTGCGTCCATGTGAACTATCAACCTTCTCTGGAAGCCCCCAGTAGACACAGCTCAGCTACTCCTGACCAGACCTGGGTCACAGACACACCGGGACCAGCTGGAGGGAGCAAATGAGGCCCATCAGGGGCTCAGCCGCTCACCACGGGGACCATGGAGGTCTCGCTGTATGAGAGCGCATTGCGGTGCCTGATGCCCACCTGGTGGTGGAGGTGCAATGGCTTGTATCACAGAAACTGGCAGTGACTTGACACTGCCAACAGCCTAGGCAGGTCCCAGTGCCACCTGGCTCCTGAAAACTTCCCACATACCCGCCACCCCAGGGCACGTGTTGGGGGGGTGTCAGGTTTAGCTTTCAAGTGGTTCCTCTCCTCTCCTTTCCGGAGTGAGGTCCTTCATGCTGAACAAGGTGCCAGCCCTAGCTACAGGCTTTCCAACGTCCTGTCTTCTTATGGCCTTTCTCCAGTGTGCACTTTCCTGTGCTGAAGAAGGGTAGAACTATGTTTGAAGGCTTTCCCACATTCTGTACACCCATAGGACCTCTTTTCAGTGTGGAACTGCTGGTGCCGATCGCGGTAAGACCTGGTGGTGAAGGTCTTCCCGCACAGGCTGCACTCATAGGGCCGTTCTCCAGTGTGAACTTTCCAGTGCTGATACAGGCCAGAGCGGGTCACGTAAGTTTTCCCACATTGCTCGCACTCATAAGGCCTCTCTCCAGTGTGAACTCTCTGATGAAGAATGAAGCTATGGCTGTACTTAAAGAACTTCCCACATTCCCTGCACTCATAGGGCCTTTCTCCAATGTGAACTTTCCGGTGCCGAATGAGAGTAGACAGAACACTGAACGCCTTCCCACATTCGCTGCACTCATAGGGCCTTTCTCCGGTGTGAATTCTCTGGTGCAGAACGAGTGCATCTTTGCGGTTAAAGGTTTTGCCACACTCATCACACTTGAAAGGTTTTATGCCTGTGTGAACCTTCTGGTGCTTCCTCAGCTTAGAGGGATAACTGAAGGCCTTTCCGCACTCAGTGCACACATGGGATGTTTCCCCAGTGTGAATTTTTTGGTAATTGACACAGGTAGATTTCTCCGTGGGGGTATTTCCACCTTTTGGACGTCTAACGGGCCTCTCTTTGGGGTGGGTTACTAGGTGGTCAAGTAGAGCAAAGGCCTTCGGGAAAGCTTTCCCGCAGTCACTGCACTTGAAGGCCTTCTGTGCGGCGTGGACTCCCTGCTGCTGTCGGCAGCGGGAGCTGGGCTGGAAGGCCTCCCCGCGCTCCGTGCTCCCGTGTGACTCCCCGCTGCGGTGGGTGGCACGGTGCTGCAGAGGAAGTAAGGTGGCAAGGACGTCCATCCCAGCCTCTCCGTGCACAAAGGGCTTCTCCGACAGGTGGACGCTGTGACCCTTCGTCTGCTCTGTAGGGGCTTCCCCATCCTCCAGTCCACGTGGGCAACCTGAAACAGAAGAGCCAGTTATCGAGAGCTGAATTAGAGGCAGGAGGCACCTCCGTCACAAACACACGTCAGGCACACCCGAAAGCAGTCCGCAGAGTTTCTAGGAGGTCGCTAGCAGTCTGGTTGAGAAAGGGCTGGCCCAGGGGAACAGGGCTCTGCCAGATCACAGAACAGGAACGATGTCAGTGGGGACAGCGACACAAAGCTGGGGGCAGTGCTGGGAGAAGAGGTGGGCTCACCGGGTCACTCCTTGCTGTGGGAGAACAAGAAGTCAGAAGCACGGTAAGAACGTCCTGAAGGAAAGGGACAGAGCAGCAAGGAACTGAAAGCTGTTCCATTCCTAGGCCAGAAAGCTGCGGGGCCGCTCGTTCTCTCCAGGACATGACACGGTGCCAGGCCAAGGATAAGAATGCTTCGCCTGGTGCCAGATGGACTCATTGTTGTGGGTTAACCTCAAGCACGGTTAAATACTAACATAGTATTTCTGCTTCTGTAAATCCACTTGGCAAGCTTGTACTTCCCTGTTCTGGCTGACCACACCCACGCTATTCGCAAGGTTACAGAACACCACGTCACCATTCTACGCCGGTGGTCTGTCATGTAGTCACCACCCCACGGCTTCTCAAATGTCTAATTACGGTTGGTCATTTCAAGACAAAAAACTTAAAATTGATAGGTCTCTGCCAAAACTAACACCTGAGTGTCACAATGTAATTAATTAACTAAATAATGACGTATTCTGCCTTGCTGAAGTCTATATAAGCTCACTGCTACCTTTGTTTGGGGCCATTCTCTGCATATTTCTCTGTGAGATCAGGAGATCAGGTTTGGCCCGGCCGTAAATAAAACCTTGACTCGCTTCTGTTCGGCGTTTGGTGGTCTCTTCGACAATCACCCTGCTTCACTCGTGACCCAGTATGGAACACACCGCAGGAGCTGTCAAGATGCCAAATACTATGTGGTACGTGCTTGCTGGTATCAGACAAGTACCGGAATAAAAGAGGCTTGAGCAGGGAGACCGATGCTTCAGCTCCTGGAGAGTCTTAGTCCCCTGCTTCTCAATTCTGTCGTCACTGCACCTTTGGGACCTGTCTCTCTCTCTCACTTGCAATAGGTTTCAAATAGGGCCTCCACCGCCGGTGAACCACCGGTGACAGTGAGCACTGTCGAGGAGGATGTGTCTGCTCAGATGAAACGGCAACTGTAACACAGCAGCTGGTGTTGAAGTATTATTTAAGGATGTGTGCACATCTCAGGCCACTAGTGGAGGCCAGGGAGGGGGTCATCCAGGTCCTGAGAGTTATCACATACTGTGTTCACAAGAGAAAGGAAAGGTGGGAACAGCGTGTGGTCATGACCTTGACAACAAAAAGCCAAAGCACACAGGTGAGCAGCATGCTGTGAGCCCGTCACTGAAACTAAGACCTGGCCCAGCCCTACTCACCAAGACCAGGACCCCTCGTGGCCTCTGCTCTACTGACCAGACTCAGGTCTGCCATGCTTGGCACCCAGAGCTCTTCTTCACTCTCCAGCTGGGCAACCGCATGGCATCTTGAAGGTGCAAATCCTGGGAGGGAGAAAAGCAGTAAGAGGCCAACCAACGTACGCCAAGGCTTACCCAGCCCATCCCACACCAAAGGAAGCTCATGTTACCATGGCAACCACGAAGAAAACAGAGTATTAGAAAAAGCACTTCCTCTGCACATTTAAAAATGTGTTAAGACCCCATGTTGTGTTTTACCAGAATTTTTTAACAGAATCTCTCGTGAAGTAAAACAGACATAACTAAAGTAAAAAATAGTCAAGCAATAATAGTTGGAGACTTCCATTTCTAACTGTCAATAAGGGACAGAACCACGAGGCAGAAAACATATATACAGCACTTGAACAACACTAAAAATCAACTAGACCTAACAGACATCTATAGAGCATGCCATGATACAGCAGAAGAATGCAGTCTCACATGCTCATATGCACATGGAACGGTCTCCAGAACAGACCATTTGCTAGGAAATAAATAGACTTTAGAAGATGTGATCTCTGAACACAAAGGAATTAAAATAGAAATCAACAACAGAAAGAAATTTGGGAAACTCATAAATTTATGGAATTTAAATACAATACATCTAAATAACCAAAAAAACTACAGAGTACTTTGAAATGAATGAAAATGAAAACACAACATACCCAAAGTAATGGGACATAGCAGTGCTTACAAAATTAGAAAATTAGAGCTATAAACACCTCTGTGCTGTTTCGCTCCTAACACTCTGACACCAAAAGTGGGTAGGTGAGGGGCAGGTGCTCCAGACTTCTTCAACTCTCAGACATCAAGGTGGTGTCCAAGGATTCCATTAAATTCTCATATTAACTACCTGGAATCAGCGTCAGATCCCACACGTTAAGGGCTCAGTCCCACAGGACTTCAGACAACAGTTGAAAGTACCAGACCTCCCACATTTCTGACCAAGTGGCTATAAATCAGGGATTCCCACGATTATTAATCCCTTCTCAGGTTCAATAGTTTGCTATAATGGCTCACAGAACTCAGGGAAAGAGTTTACTTACCATTACCAGTTGATTATAAAATATACAACTTAGAAACAGCAAAACAGAAGAAATGAAAAGGGCAAAGTATGCGGGGGGGGGGGGTGTGGGAGTGTGGGGGGGGTTGAGGTAGAGGGTTAGAGTCATCCATGCCCTCCAGCGGTGCCACTTTTCCCAGCAACCCAGAAACTTTCTGAATCCTATTGTTTAAGAGTTTCTATGGAGATTTCATTATGATGTATGATTCATTAACTCACTGGCCACTGGGGGTTGGTTCAGTCTCCAGGCCCTCTAATCTCCCTGGAGACCAGGGCTGGGGGACTGGGAGGATGGGGGGGGGGGGGCAGCTCAAAATGTAACCTGCCAGTCACGCGCCCTGGTCTTTCTGGCGGCCAACCCCTTTCCTGAAACTATCCAGGGGCTCCCAGCCAGCAGCCATCCCGTTAGCACACAAAAGATACTCCTCATTTCAGAGATTCCAAGAGTTTTAGGAGCAGTGCTAGGAACCGGGAACAAAAACAAAATACATATTTCTTATTATGTCACAGCACCCATATTTAAAAGGATCTCAGGGGCACCTGGGTGGCTCAGTCAGTTAAGCATATGACTCCTGATTTTGGCTCAAGTCTCGATCTCACGGTGATGTCGGGCTCCTGGCTGACAGTGTGGAGCCTGCTTGGGATTCTGTCTCCCTCTCTCGTTCTGCCTCTCTCTCTCAAATACAAATAAATAAACATTTAAAAAAATAATTTAAAAAATTAAAAGATCTCAAATCAGTAGCCTAACTTTAGTCCTCAAGGAACAGGAGAAAGAAAAGCAACGAAACTCAAAGCTAGCATAAGAAAGGAAATGATAAAGAACAGAGATAAATGAAATAGAGACTAGAAAAAGAGAATCTGTGAAACCAAAATTAGGATCTCTGAAAAGATCAGCAAAATTGAAAAACTCCTACCTAGACTGACAAGAAAAAATAAAAGAATCAAATTATTAAAAAGAAGAATGGGGGCGCCTGGGTGGCTTAGTCGGTTAAGCGTCCGACTTTCACTTAGGTCATGATCTCGCGGTTCGTGGGTTCGAGCCCCGCGTCGGGCTCTGTGCTGACTGCCAGCTCAGAGCCTGGAGCCTGTTTCAGTCTGTCACTCCCTCTCTCTCTGACCCTCCCCTGCTCACACTCTCTCTCTCTCTCTCCTAGAAATAAATAAAACATAAAAATAAAAAAAAATTTTTTTAATTTAAAAAAAATAAAAATAAAAAGAAGAATGAAAAAGGGACATCACTAACATTATAAAACAGAAAGGGTTTTAAAGAAAAAAACAGAAAGAGTTTAAAAAAAAATTTGTTTAATGTTTACTTATTTTTGAGAGAGAGACAGAGACAGAGCATGAATGGGGGAAGGGCAGAAAGAAAAGGAGACACAGAACCTGAAGCAGGCTCCAGGCTTCGAGCTGTGAGCATGGAGCTCAACATGGGATCACACTCATGAACTATGAGATCACGACCTGAGCCGAAGCAGAATACTTAACCAACTGAACCCCCCAGGCGCCCCTAGAAAGAGTTTTAAGGAAATACTGTGAACCACTGTATTGTATGTCACAAATTAGATAACTTAGATAAAATGGACAAATTCCTAAAAAAGACACAAACTACCAAAACTGACTCAAGAAGAAATAAAAAGTCTGATTATACTTAAACAACAAGAACAGCAGCAACAACAAAACTTCTGCCGTAGGGAAAAAAAACATTGGCCAGAGGGCTTCACTGATGAATATTAACACTGAAATAAGAACTACCACCAATACTTGACACATTCTTCCAGAAAACAGTAAAAAAGGGAACATTTCCCAACTCCTCTATTGAGACCAAAACTACCCTCATACTCAATAAAAGAGATATGAGAAAATTATACATTGATAACTTACGAATAAAGATGCAAAACTCTTCAACAAAATACCAGCAAAGCAAATCCAGAAGCATATAAAAGGATTATAAACTATGACAGTGAAACACATGCTAGTAACACAAGGCTAAACATATGAAAATCAATTACTCCAGGGGCGCCTGGGTGGCTCAGTCGGTAAGGGTCCGACTTTGCTCAGGTCATGATCTTGCGGTTCGTGGGTTCGAGCCCCACGTCGGGCTCTGTGCTGCCAGCCAGCTCAGAGCCCGGAGCCTGTTTCAGATTCTGTGTCTCCCTCCGTCTCTGACCCTCCCCTGCTCACGTTGTCTCTCTCTCTCTCTCAGAAATAAATAAAAAACATTAAAAAAAAAAAAAAAAGAAAATCAATTACTCCAATACTCTGTGTTAAAAGAATAGAGGATAAAAATCACACAGGGGCGCCTGGGTGGCTTAGTCGGTTACA